ATATATATATGTGTGTGTGTGTGTGGTTTAGATGTCAGCGATTCGGAAAGGAGATGACAAACGACATAACGACCTAAGAAAGAAGCGAATGTGAGCTACAACGTGGAAACCCTCAGTCGAGATAGTGAGTGTGTGTGTATGTATGTGTGTGTGTGTGTGTGTGTGTGTGTGTGTGTGTGTGTGTGTGTTTGTGTGTGTGTGTGTGAGGGTGTGTGTGTATGTGTCTGTGTGTGTGTGTGTGGCAGACAGACAGACAGACAGACAGACAGACAGACAGACAGACAGACAGACAGACAAACAGACAAACAGACAAGCAGACAGGCAGACAGACAGTCAAACCGGGTAAATAGGCAGGAGATGGATATAAAATAATTAGTAATAATAATACTGGGAATTATTTAGAAATAGAGGTGGGGGTACACAGGTGGCTCGTGTGGAGGAAAAGAGCTGCAGGCAGACCGAGCTACTTTTGGCTCCTGCTGGAAGCAGCTGGTGGTCTGGTAGTTCCAAATTAACCATCTCATTTCCTCCCCGTTGGTCTGTCCCTCATTATTCGACTTCAGTTTATTTCAAATCAATGCAGAGAAAACTCGATTGTCCCGGTGAAGCGAGCGGAGGTGGAATCGACGGTGGCTGATTTTTTATACAGAACGCAGATGCTCCTTAGCAAAGGTCGTGAACAAGACATTGTATTTTTTTTTCTTCTTTTTTAAGGCGTCCAGTTCAACACGCGCAACATTATCAGCTGCTCAACACGTGCATCGAAATTATGACCTATCTTGAATCAGAACTGCTCATTTTTGGGTGCAATCATACATGGGGAAAAGGATAGTGTTTATTTTGCATCGAAGATTACAGCGACTGGAATCGATTCCACAATCGTATACGTGATAATGGCTTTACGAGCCAGGTACATAGTACCATAAATATACATCAAAAGATAAGGGGCTGGGGGAAAGGGACAGGGGTTCAATTGAAAAAAGTAAATTCTTAGCCTGTCGTCTACTATTTTAGTACAAAATTTGTAATATCGATGGAAGCTAAGCTTGAGTGGAACTGTGACGTCACCTCGTTAATTACCTTTGGCCTTATAGTTGGTGGACCGAGGGTATGGGTAGCTCTTGGCAGACATACAATCCTGCGGTGGCAAGAATGTTGTCGGGCGTTATTATGTTTTAGTGCATGGGACGGCACAGTGGCAAACACCGCGGCAAACAATTATATCCGGCTCTTCAGCGAATTCTACGTTGTCTTTGTTTAGCTTGTACAAAACAAAGAACATTAATCCAAACATAAACATGTTGTCAAAAAAAAAATGCTAAATATCCAGCATTGACAAATTGGCATAAGAATGAGAACTGGTTTGCCTTGATTTGTCATTATTTTAACTTTTGTCTGTTTTAATTTGTAATAATGTTTTTAAAAAATGGTTTAGTTTCCCACGAATCAACGAGTTTGTTTGTTTTAATCATGTTCGGCTTGCTACCAAAAATGTAATTTGATTCTGGAAAAGGGAGCGACTGAGTTTGACAATTGGGTATTTCTGGGTGTCTTCACGTTAGTGAGTTGACTCTTTTCTATCCAGGCTTTCTGTCAGCTGTCTCTCGGGTCAGAAAATCGATCCTTATCCTCGTTTTCTATAACAAAACCCCTGTTAGCATGGTACTTATTGTTATGGTTGGAGAGAGAGAGATAGAGAGAGAGAGCGAGAGAGAGAGAGAGGGAGAGAGAGAGAGAGAGAGAGAGAGAGAGAGAGAGAGAGAGAGCAAGAGCGACGGGGGGGGGGGGAGAAACAAAGAGAAATAGAGATGGAATGCAGAGATTAATGCCGACAGAATGACAGAGAGAAAGAGAGAGCGAGACAGAGACAGAGAGCAGGCAAACAGACAGACAGACAGACACATAGACAGATAGATAGACAGACAGACAGAGAGATAGACAGATAGATGGATAGATAGATAGATAGATAGATAAATAGATAGATAGATAGATAGATAGATAGATAGATAGATAGATAGATAGATAGATAGATAGATAGATAGTGGCAAAGACGGAGATATAGGGTGGGTGCAGGCTGAGAGCTGGTGAAATCGAAGAAAACTCAAATGAAATATACGTCTAACGTGCACATCAGTAGGAAATTTTGAATTTTGCCCGGGTGGCAGCTGAAGCCTACTTTTATTGATTTTAAACCACCAAGGGATCTTTAACCTTCGCAACTTGCACACGGCACCTCCGAGATTTTTCACCGTTGTCCGAGAAGGCTAGGTGTAGATCTTTCCTACCAGAAGACCAGGCGTGTGTCAGAAAGACAGCAATAAGAAGGAGCCAGGGAGTAACAGTAGAAAACCTGCAAAAAGAATCAGGAGCCCAAAGGAGTGGCAGAAAGTGGAGGCGAAAGCAGACGACAGAGCACTGCTAGAGAGCATTAAAAACGGAAAAAGGAGGCAATATTAGAGAAGAAATGTTTTTGGTCGCTACCCGGATTCGAACCCGGGACCTTTGAATGCGAACACCTTAACCTCTAGGCCACGAGAGCCCCCCGATTACATGATCAAAAGTGTTCAATTTGTATTATTTGTTTTTTAAAGTATGAAAATTGCGAATATAAGGGTATTGTTATTTGTTTTTGTAAAGTGTTTTACGGGACACACCTAATATTTTCAGTTGGTTGGAAATTTTGAATTTTGCCCGGGTGGCGGCCGAAACCTACTCTTATCGATTTTAGACCACCAAGGGATCTTTAACGTGCCCAACTTGCATACGGGTCCTCCGAGATTTTTCGCCCTTGTCCGAGAAGGCTAGGTGTAGATCTTTCCTACCAGAAGATCAGAGGTGTGGCTGAAAGACTGCAGTAAGAAGAAGCGAAGGAGTAGCAGTAGAAAGGCTGCAGAAAGAATCAGGAGCCCAAATGAAGGGGCAAAGGTGGTGAGGGTGAGAGGGTGAGGGCAGAAAGAGGGGACGAAAGCAGACGACAGAACATTGTTAGAGAGCAGGAAATGAGGAGAAAGGAGACAAATTTAGAGAAGAATTTTTTTCGGTCGCTATCCGGATTCGAACCCGGGACCTTTTGAGTGAGAGGCCAACACCTTAACCTCTAGGCCACGAGAGCCCCCGGGTATTGTTAGAAGAATAATGAGATGAGGCAAGATTTTTTCTTCTTTTCCTTTTGCTTTCTAACCTTAAAATAAGGTTTTGCCTTGTATTAGACTACTTACGTATCTCCATAGTCGCCTTGCTGTATGATGACGTCATCGCGAGTTGCGGTCTCATAAGAACAGTTTTTCACGATCTCCACAAGTTCCTCTGAAATAACAAACACACGAAAATAAATGATACAAGTATTCATGTTTGATTAACTTAGGTCAAATTCATCTAAACTTTATGCGGCAGGAAGAGTAGGGGAAGAGAGAGGTAGATGAAATATTCATTGTATGCTGTGCCTTCAAGAAACACCCATGATAAGACAGGGATTTTACGTCATTTCTTTCTGAATTCCAGTTTGCCTAAATTGACAGCTTTAAATGCACAGAAAAGGTTAGGCTACCCGACTCCTAATCGTGAGGTTACGGGGTCGAAGGTTCGAGCCTCGAGCCCAACGTTGTGTCTTTGGGAAAGGCACTTTACAAGAATTTTTTGCAGTTCATCCAGGTGGAAATAGGTACCCGGCCATACACAGTAAAAGATGATCGTGTCTGTATGTTAGTGTTTTAGCGCCTATAAATGGCTGCTTGCACTGTATGCTTCCCACAAAGTTGAGTTTTTATTTTCTAAATGCTCTCAGGTCTGCTGAGGTAATAGTATAGATTGTGAAGCGCATAAGCTTGATGTTGAACGGGGATTTTTGCTAAACAAAAGCTAAGTATTATATTTTATTATTAAGAGTAATAATGTAGACCATTAATATAGTGTGAACAAACGAAGACTATTGGTAGAACTTGTGTTTGCATTATACGAACTTCTATATTATTGACGTATACATCGTCAAATTTGTTAGTTAATCACTTCAAAGTCCATTATATAGATAAATATTAACCATATTAGCATCTTTATTGGCGATCTAAAATGAGCAATGATAATAAGTCTGGCTTTGTTTTTTACTATATGTGAAAACTAAATTATGCTTCGAGAAAACGTTGATCAAAAGAATCTATAGTCTACTTTGTTCTAAATTTAAGAGTAGAGTTTGTCTTGCTCTGTAATCTAACTGACCCAAACCGATGTCAGAGATGGTGTCCCTAAATATTATGAACATCCAACCACATAATTAATACTTATTTTGGAATAACAATTACGTATAAAAAATACGAATGCACAGGACAAAGGATCCCCCATGTCTGAAAGCGAAGATTTTCAACCTAACTAGTTATAGTTGATTGGTATTATTATATAATTGTATTAATAGAGAGTGCATCCATGCTTAACTAATTGCTCTATGTACTTTACAACTTGCATTTCCCGAGCAGACCCTAGAATTTGTAAACATTCTTGGCGTGTCGTGAAGCAATTATTCGCTTCTCGTTCAAAGATGCTTGACTCCAAATAATTGAGTGGACGTGCTGAACGCTACCAGGTGAATACACACAAAAGAAAAATAGAATGTTTACTACCCTCAACAACTTTTCAAACCGAACAAACGCGTAAAAACTGATTTTGAAGAAAGACTTATCGTTTCTTACTCTGGTTTTTTGTGCTGTTGTTGTTGTTTGTTTTGGGTCTTTTTGCGACGACAGGCCCCTTGACTTAAAAGCCGATCGAAGGTCGAAACAGTCACGTGCTCGCCCGATCCCACCATTAGTTATCAACTTGACCGGTGTCTATAAATTAGTAAAGTATTTTGACCTGTGTCTATTAGTATGGTAGTGTATTTTTCAACACCCCTTTTAACGCAAAAGCCAGATTTGTTCAAGTACGTAGACCGTCACGCACACAGTACACTGAAGAGCCCCCGACACGAGTCCGGCAATCTGTTTTTATATAGTAGGTACTTTCTGGAACTATCTATTTAATCATTATTGTTTTACATTAGTCTACAATAATATTCTTACACCGAGTACAAGTAACTTTGGCGGTGCTCCATTAGCTCAGTTGGTATTCTGCTTGATTATAGGACTGCAAAGATGGACCTGGTTCAAATTCCAGGCTGGGAGTATTTGAATTCGGGTCGTTCTGTGGAGTCCTCACGGTTTTCTTACCCTTTGACTTTGTCCTATCTAAGACGGAAGTTAAATTCGTAAGCCCGGCCTCTTAATTTAACCAAATATAGTTGATAGGGCCGTTAAACCCAAACACGTTATATATTTTTGCAAGTGACTTCGTTCGATCAAGAGGGTGCCGTCAGATCGTGACTGAACAGAGTACAGGCTGCCTCGTGTAGCGTGGCCAGGAGGAATGACCAGCAAGTCATTCAGGATAAACATGCTCGTCAGTGCTCGCATCGTCACACATCACAAGCGATTCTGCCGTAAATTGACTAAACGTCATTTTTGGGGCCATTTTTTTCTTCTCTGAATCGAAAGCCCGATCAGTTACCCTACTTGTGTGGACATTCATAGTGAAACTGAGACTAGTTTTTGTAAAAAAAAATTACAATAAACATTCCGTAAGAACGTTATTTTAAACGGTTACGTAACCTCTTTACCTGTCCTGCACTTAACGACCTGCGTAGTACCTGCCTACCTGCCTCCCTAGATATAGGAAATACTCTATACAGCGATACCACACAGCTGATAACGACCTGTAAATTTTCTGTCATAACCAAAGGCCGAAAGATTAGAATTCAGATCGCCGCTGGATCGGAAAAGTACAGTAAAGTAAATGGTTATGCTGACAAAAAAAGCCTCTTTTTCTCCAAACTGTTGTGAATAAAAGAAGGGCGTCTTGTCAGGGTACGGCAGAATTGTATTAGTTGTATGCTTTGTATACAATTATTGTAGATGCTATGCACCTCAAAAGCCGGGGGAGAGATGGAGTAGAAAACTGTATGAACAGCAAGCACGGTAAACTGTACTGTATTTATTATGTACATTGTAAAACGGGGAAAGGACTGAGGCAAAATTTATTTTGCGTTTAATCGAGCGAAAATAAACCACAACAAATGTAAGGGGAATCAGAGACCATAAAATAATTAAATACTCTCTGGGGAAATGGAGTAAATCTGTTACTGTTAACAACTTAAAATATTCTCTGACACAAGTACAAATATCCTTATGGGAAAATGGTTGCTCACTTGTCATTTTCCCCTTTTCCCCTTTTCCGTCGCCCGTTTCTTTTGGTTTATTCTTATTTTTTGTACATTCATACTCTCTTCTCTTCAATGACACAAGCTTCTCCAATGTGTTAGCTTCTTCCATGTGTTACTTTCGTTTCTATAGGTTCCATTTTTTTATCCTGCCTTTGTCATTTTATTTGTTGATCTATTTTCTATTGTTCTTCGACAATTTATCGCAGCCTGCTTTTAACTGCGAGAGTATCGTCCTTGTAGTTAAAAGCCTCCTTCTGGAACTCTACTATGTCATGCGTTTGACAATTCGCGATGGTAACCATTAAAAAGGATTCCACTTTCCTTTCAAGAAAGTGGACATGCTTTTAAAATGTATTTTGTGATTTATTATATTTTTTGTTACTAATCGATCTTCATGAAGTAAAAATTGGAAAGTAACTGCTGGAAAACATAATTCCCACACTGAAAGCAGAATATCTATACTTTAGTACATGAAATTTAAAGTGGTATCAGAGAAAGATGTCATTAAGTATATCAAAGAGTCCCCCGCTAAAACATGCGACTTAGACCCAATACCCACTTCATTGTTAGTTACGTGCATCGAAGATCTCGCACCATATGTTACTCGTTTTATTAATATGTCACTCACCACTGGAATCGTACCTGATCTTTTCAAACAAGCCATTGTAAAACCTTTACTTAAAAAACAAGGTCTTGATGAAAACGACATGAGAAATTTTAGGCCAGTTTCCAATCTAAACTTTTTATCAAAAATCCTGGAGAAAATCGTTTTGTGTCAAGTTCAACAACATCTAAAGGCCAATGACATGGAAGAACCTTTTCAATCTGCTTATAAAAGGCACCACAGTACGGAAACCGCTCTTTTAAAGGTATCATCAGATGTTTTAAATGAAATCGATAATAAAAAAGTCTGTGTTTTGGTTCTGCTTGATTTGTCTGCGGCGTTCGATACCATCGACCACGAAATTTTACTAGAGAGATTGGAAAAGTCATTTTTACTATCAGGTACTGTTCTAATGTGGTTTAAATCATATCTAGACAATAGATTTATGTCAGTGAAAATTGGCAATGATGTGTCAGATAGGTTACCTCTAAAATACGGAGTTCCTCAGGGTTCGGTCCTTGGTCCTGTCATCTTTACAATGTACACGCAAAGTCTGTCATCAATAATTTCTTTATATGCCCTCAATTACCATCTTTATGCAGACGATACACAGCTGTATGGATTCACTACAACTGACAATGTACACAATCTCATAGATAGAATCGCCAGATGTATCAATGATATAAGAAAATGGATGTTCAAGAACAAATTAAAATTAAATGAGGATAAGACCGAAATATTATTTCTTCGGAGCAGCGCATGCAATGAAATCGACAATATCAGAATAAACATCAATGGCCACGAAATATCAGCCCAAACTAAAATAAGAAATTTAGGTGTGGTGCTAGATCAAGATATGTCAATGAAATACCATGTATCCAATCTTTGTAAAAATCTATATCTCCAGCTGAAGAAAATAGGGAGCATTAGAAAACATCTATCTGTTGGTGTCACCAATACTTTAATAACATCACTTATATTGTCAATGATTGATTATTGCAATTCCTTACTGGCTGGTGTACCTGATGAACAGTTACAACAACTACAAAGAGTACAAAATATTGCTGCCAAAATAATTACTAAAAAACTAAAGCATGATCATGTGACTCCTATTTTAAAAGCATTACACTGGCTCCCAGTGAAAGAGCGTATCATATATAAAATCTGTTTAACTTGCTACAAGTGCTTAAATGATTTATCACCGGACTATCTAAAACAGCTTTTAACACCCTATGTGCCTCCTAGAACGCTCAGATCATCTAGTGACAAAACAACCCTTGTTAAGCCTAAAATAAATTTCAAATCATATGGCCAACGCTCTTTTTCATATTTTGCCCCACTTGTTTGGAATAGGCTTCCAAAAACTATCAGAGAAGCAGAAAATCTAGAAATTTTTAAGAAGAAACTAAAATCATTTCTATTTTCATCATATTTCGATTAGACAGAATGCATCCAAGCTGTAGATCGTTGTGAGTTTGTATGTGCGTATGTGCATATGTATGTATGTGTTTATGTGAGTATGTATATGTGTGTGGTGCGTGCGTGAGTGAATATGTGTTTGCATGAGTATGTAACACTATGTATCTTTAAAATTGATTTGTAAATCCATTATATGTATCATGTTAAGCGCATAGAGCATTGCATAAGTGGATATGCGCTATATAAATGCAATCCAATATTATTATTATTATCTTTTTTACCCTTTTCTGGTGAAATTAAATGTGCCAACTTAGATACGTTTAGACTTTTGTGATTTATTCTGTTGAATGCACTAACAATTGAATTTGATCTACAGTCCACGTGACAAACGCCATAGAATAGTCTATGTCCATCGAAAAAAAAAGTATCAAACTGAAAAAGGATGATTTATATACTGGTTATACCAACATTTTACGATGCAAATTAGAACTGTAAATACCAATGTCTTTATAAAAAATAACTTAAAGACACTTTTTAAAGACTTGGAATAAGCTGTTGTCACTTGTTATAGATTATACATCGCTTCTTCATTCGATACGGCTGTTTATAATCCTTATATATCATGAAAAGATACAAATTAGCAACGGACACTATGTTTACCTATCATACCCAGATTACCCTTTGTGTACCTTCTATCCTCAGGTGAACAATTCTTCTATTATTCAAACCTTTAGCTTCAACATCGTTTACTAATAAAGCTAACTCCATAAATATTCAAACTAATGATACTAAATCCAAATTGATATATTTTTTTCAACAATACGATAACAATTTTTAACATGTATTCTAGACCACCTGTAGTCGAACAACTTAAAATAACAGTAATTTTTGTTTTGCTATTTTGTGTTTTTTCCCTTGCTGTATAACATATAAAACTAGGGCCCATGGTCATAATTAGTTTGACAGGGATAACACGCTAATAAACGGAACAATTTACTTTCTCTGCATATCACTTCATGGCTGCTGAACGTGTCCTTGGCGTTGCACAAGCTGAGATTCATAATTAAACCATATCTTGAGAGATCTGATACTTGTATCAATAAGTTTGCAGCAAAGAGAGCGTGCAAAGGGTAGTATAGTGGTAAGTATCTTCGCCTGTCATGCGGGAGACCGGAGCTCAATTCCGCCCTGAGGAGGGTTGGGTTTTGTTTTCTTGATATTGAGCGAGAATACTCAAACTTAAAAGGACAAAGCAGATAAATACACGGGTTTACTGAAGAAAAGGGGTCAGAAAGATAAACAAAAAGAAATAGAAATTACTTTACAAGTTGAACAATAAAGAGAAAATGATTTTAAACAATTTACGATTTTTTCATTGCGTATTACATATTTCCACCGGCCCTCCAGGTTTTGGAGGTTCAGCTCAGGGCTAACAACCCTGACTGGTAAAAATCATGTTACAGAAACAGCAACAAAGAGAAACCATATTTCTGTGTGTAATGGACCTTCAGAGTCTCTTGGAACTCGTATGAATGCTGGCAGTGAAAGCCGCAAAAAAGATGTTTGCAGAAAGTGGAGGACCTGAACACCGCAAAGACAAAAGTTATTATATGACAGTGGAATAAGAGGACAATGTACGAAACTGGTAAGTTGGCACAAGTGTCGGCAGAGATGGGGAGATATGGATTGCACGTTCTGGACATAAGGGGCACTAGGTACAGCTGAAGTGAAACATTTTGTTTGGGCTCTTAATTAAGTATACCGGGATTCCCAATAACCAACATGGGTCACGAAACAGAAACACCCTATCCCTATATGATTTCACTGTCAGTTTTTTTAAATTCTTTCGATGCAAAGGCTTCGAGAGACCAAATTCGCACAAATTGTATGCAGGGATTCTGAAAAAGATTTAATTGATACAGCCTTGATATTTTCACACAGTGTTTCTGTATATTATACAACTTGCAACGTACTAAAGATTTACTTTCCTGAGTCTCATATATTTCTTGTAACTACCTTTTTTAGTGTCATATACGATACTTGGACAAAAAAATTGATAACAAATCAGAGTGATACTGTTAATCTTTTTTACATTGACAGAAAACTTTTTACAAAATCACAATAATATTTAGTACGTTGCACACATATTATCTAGAAACAATCATGCAAAGTGGGATTGAGCTGTGACTTGTAAATAACTCTGCATAGGTGACCCCCCCTAAGAAAATCGTAGTTTTGAGAAAACTGAAAAAAAAACTCGAATTCATACTGGTTTATTTCAACACTATGTTAAAAAAACAGCAAACGTGAGCATTTCATAGATGTTTTAGACACTTGAAAATATTTCCTATCGATAAAGCAAATGTTGGTCTATTGAAATAGTCCAAAATCGAATAATAAGTTGTGGATACCAAAATCGACCTTTTTCTGGCTGTTGACTGTGGTGTACCATAAGTGAAAGTCACTGGGCAGGATCCGGCTGGCTGAGAACAGCAACTAGAGAAACCCTGATATATTCCGACAGAGAAGATTACCAACACCGAGAAGGTGTAGTTATCATCCTAAAAAGGGTCTCGAGAAATGCTTCATGGAGTGGAAACTAATCAGCAGCTAAATGATGACACTAAGACTGAAGGAAAAGCACACCAACACAAGCAGTAACCAATGTTACGCCCCTACTAACGAGAGTGAAGATGAAAGCAAGGACTATTTTTATGAACAGCTGCTGAGGGAATTGACAGGTATACCTCGTCGTGACCTTATCGTTGTAATGGGCAATCTGATTGCTAAAGTAGGAGAGGACAACACCAACTATGAGAAAGCGATGGGACAACATGGTACTGGTAAGAGAAATGAAAACGGTGAAAGACTAGGAGACTTCTGCGCCTTGAACAACTTGGTAATAGGAGGAACCCCTTCCCACGCCGTACAATCCACAAACTGACCTGGAATTCTCCAAATGGCCGGGACAAGAACCAGATTGACCACCTTATGATAGGAGGAATGTGGAGACGTTCCCTACAGGATGTGAAAGTCAGAAGAGGAGCAGGTGTCGGCAGCAATCACCATCTAGTGACGGCGATAATAAAACTCAAGCTGAAGAAAACATTCACCAGGGAAGCGACAAGGATGCGATTTAATGTTCGAAAGCTCAGTGATGGCAATGTGAGATCTGCCTTTCGACTAGAACTAAAGAACTGATTTCAAGCTCTCTGAGACCTGGAAAAAAACACCCCCGATACAGATGAAGTTAATACTTAATGGAAACATATTGTTGAGGCCTACACAGAGAACAGTAAGACATGTCTTGGTGTCAAGAAAAAGAATGCAAGCAAAGAATGGATGCAGCAAGGAACATGGAATACTATTGCAGAAGGGAGAGAAATCAAGAAAAGACAGCTTGCAGCTAAGTCGATAGGGCTATAAGAGAAGTACACAGAGGATTACAAGCCAGTAGCTCCTAAACGAAAGCAAAAATATACAAATTGGCACATATCATGATAAGTTCAGTTTCAGGGTGGCATTTGTGAAAGCTCTGTTTTACAGCCTGTTTTAAAGTATCACCAGAAGAGGCAGTTCATTACAGAAACAATGATGTTCTCTTTTCATTTTGATATTCAATTCATGCCCCTTCCCCCACAGTTCATGCACCGTATTAAATGCGCGAACACACTTTTACGTTTCTTTGATTTCGCACATTTTTGACCAGCCTATTTTTTTTTTAAAGGTCAGTTTTAAGTGACCATGTGTCGGCCGTCTTTAAACATACATGAAATATGAATGTCTCAGACTATGCAGAATTTCTTTAACTTTTAATTGAAATTTCGCATGAGTGGGTCTTGCAATGCTTTAACACGATAATCCTATAAATACATTTTAAAGTTTCTTTTGGACGTCACTGTTATATCTCATTTTTTTTAACAACAACGTTTTAGAATAGGTTAAAACTAAGACACCCGCACCTTTACCCCATCCTAACCAGTGCATTTCTTCTTTCCCCTATTTCCCCTGACGTTTTGTATTTTTCTGTTTTCTTTCTAATTTTATCTCTCCGCAGAATGACTAGTTAACGTTCTCTTCATCCTCACCTCTCTACCACCGTATCCCCTCCCCTTTTTTTACATCAACGCGCAACAAAAATATAGAGTTCTTGGTTCTAAGGCTAAAGGGTACTATAAAAAGTTCTGACTGTATCTTTTCTCAGGGTCAAATTACATGAACTTTCCTTGCCAATATGAACAACAACTACCTCCCTCTAAATATTCGTGTTTACTTTATTGTTTATTTTCCGCGCGCTCATATGACCTTATAAAGTTAAGAGCGCCGTAAAACTCTTATCAAAACAAAAACATTGTATATTCCATGCGAGCTTTGAGCCTCATCCATTTTGCCTTCAACACCGTTTGCTCTAAGATTACTTTGCGCACAATCAACAATATTCGTCTTTTTGTTAAACATTTATACGATATGTGTGAATTACAGTTAGTTTCGTCTTTGTTGTTGAGAATCCGCCAGAAACTATCGTGGAGCGCCTTTTCCTTTCCGAACAACCCCCACAAAAATTCGTGAACTAAAGCTTTACTGTGTTTACTGGGCATGCCAGATACTTTATAGTTTTGCTTTTACTTTTACCGTACAACAAGCATATTACGTTAACAACCGCTTACTTTTGCCTACGTTGTTGAGAATCTGCGCACGGCGACGCAGCCATGAAATGGCCGTTTCGATCTCAGCGTCGGTGCGTCGGGCTCTTGGCTTGGAGATGACATCGATGAGTTGGTCAGTGACCTGAGACATTACGCTGACCTGGGATTGAGCAGGGTCTTGTCACAATCTGTAGCTGACTAGTCGAGCTGATAATTCGCTCCTCCTGTTCCTGCCCTTTCTCTCTTAGTGTTGTTCTGACGTTGCCATAACTGTGAACGTAAAAGGTTTACCGTTCATTTGATTACACTGAATATTTGGACAAGTTTACGAACACAATATATAGAGCTGTAGTTTATCACCAAATTGTATCTACATCCTTCATTTTCAAGATGAAACATTTGGAAAGACGGAACATATTCAGCACCACATGCAGGTACGAATATCAATGTTGTTTATGTTCTGAAGTCACAGTGGTAGGCTTCGTATTCTATGAACATCGTTTGACGTGTTCTTTGGCTCTATCTGAGACGACAGGAGTAATAAGGTTATCTCGTCTTTGACACAACATTCTGCTGTAAAAATACGCTTTCTCCTTACTATAATACATCATGTTTCAGCAGCAAAGCGTTGAGTTTCTTAACAAAAACATGCATATAAAGACAATCACAATAAGATCTCGCAAAGCTAAAACTATTGAATTTACTTCATTTCATGGTTCATTTTGGCGCTAAAGGTGTTTAAAAAATATTGCTGGGCTTGAATCTGGTAGTAGATTAAAAGTACCGTGATAGAACAAGCATAACTCTCTCGATTTGACGAGTTCACTTGTTTTTGTTTGTTGTGGTGGCTGTTTAATTATTGATACTTGGTGCAAGCCCCCCCTCCCCTTCCCCTACTGGCGCCTCTTTTTCTCCCTTCCAACACACAATAAAACACCCCGTTTGAGTTACACAAACCGTTAAATTCCAGGGTATTCTCAAAGAAAATGCCTCCAATGTTCATGTCGGAAGTCGCTCAGGCAACCGAACAAATTTCCAATTATATAGCAAAATACGTTTTGGTGATTGCCGTGTCCCTTTCTGGTAACATAAATAATACCTTTGGAATAGTACTAAAAATAAGTGCTATTTGGTAGACAAAGCGTTGATTTCCTTTTATTTTTTTAAATTTAACGTTTCTCAACAATAATTTTTCACGGAAAAGGGCCACAAATTTGGAGCTTTCTTCCACTGAATAAGAATGCACGCATTTGCACATAATAACATATTTAAAACTGCACACACAAACAAAAAAAACACACACATAAAGACACACACAAACACGCATGCGCACACACTTAGACACCACACACACCCTCTCTTCTTCTTTATTTTTCTCTATGTCTTTACCTTTGTCTCTCTTTATCTGTCTCTCTCTCCCGATTTGTTTCGCTCTTCCCTTCTCTCTCTATCTATTTTCTCTCTATCTTTCTCTCTCTCTCCACATCTCTCTCTCTCTCTCTCTCTCTCTCTCTCTCTCTC